ACTGTTGCTGTTTTATATGATTTACTCGAGGTTTCACTAAAAATGCGTGTTTTACGATTTTTTATAAAAGATCTCGAGTTAATCGTATAGTTTGGAAATGCTCGGTGTTTTATTTAACCATTGCCGTTTTATACGATTTACTCGAGGTTTTACTAAAAACGCGTCTTTACGGTTTTTATCGTAAAACTCAAACGGTAAGGCGGATTGAGACGAAACGAAGGACGTTCCGTTCATGGTTCGAAGTACGATCGAGTCAAGGAACTCAGATGGTTGAATTCAGCTCGCCTATTGGCGAGCTGGCCAGATGTGCTCAGCTCACCAATGGGCAAGCTCGATAAGTGCGTGCAGCTCGCCCGTGGGCGAGCTGGTCACATGTGAGGTCAGATCTCCCATGGGCGAGCTGTACTTGATGAGTGCAGCTCGCCCATGGGCGATCTGGTCACTTGTGTGGTCAGCTTGCCCATGGGCGAGCTGGACTTGATGAGTGCAGCTTTCCCATGGGCGAGCTGGTCACATGTGTGGTCAGCTCGCCCATGGGTGAGCTGGACTTGATGAGTGCAGCTCGCCCATGGGCGAGCTGGACTTGGTGAGTGCAGCTCGCCCATGGGTGAGCTGGACTTGTTGAGTGCAGCTCACCCATGGGCGAGCTAGAATTATTGAGTGCAGCTCGTCCATGGGCGAGCTGGACGGTTGCTTGGCTTTGGTCTTTTCTTGTTTTCTCGACCCGAGACCTCTGAGGATGTAAGGAGACGTGTCTGTAGGCGTTGAGTCCGATCTTTAACAATAGTTTTAACATCTCAGGGAGTTTCGGTGTTACGGCCGTTTTGTTAACTTGGCCAATAAAACAATCGCGGGCTGTTTTATTTGATTTCCCGACGATTTCCAAGATGACGATTGTCGAGTTTTTAGGAGTTGCTTTGTTCGGAGAATCCTTAGATTTCTTCTTCACACTTTTTCTTGTTTAAATCTTTATTCTTAATTTGTGCGGAAATTTTTGGTCATTGATTCTGTCGTACCAATTTTAACCCCAACAAACAACGTTAGCGAAAGCCGTTGTGCTGACTCAAAGAAGGGCTTTCCTAGGAGCACCCACTCCCCAGCGGTCAGCGCGAAGGTTCAAGACTTTTCTGAGCGTTAGCGAAGCTAGATTCTCATAAAGGGGTGCACCCTAAAGAACTCATGGTATCATTATGAATATACAAACCAAAATTGTGGAAGTCTAGAAATATACATACCCAGTTGAGGTTTGATATGATTGCATCGGTGGATAACAAGCCGGAATGTTTTTTTCTCATTAAAGTCGTCCATAAGCATCCACATTTTATTTTTAAACATAGGAGCATCATGGTGGCTCCGAAAATATTCCCTCAACTCATTCTCTCCTCCATACCATTTGCTGCATATATATAAAAGAGCAAGAAATTCCTCTGTTATACTATCTATCAAAACCGAGCAAGTAATAATCTAACTACTCTTATATACATGACTCATCCTCACATTCTGCCTCCAAGCAACCCATATCAATCCCAAATTATGGGACTCATAGTTCGTAATACTATCCCATCCATCAAGCACTTTCTTAATGATATCCTCTGCATTTCTCTCTTTCACTCTTGTCTCTACTAAACATCCAAACTGTATTTTTCTGACCCAGTTTCGAATTACATCTTGTTTTATTAAAACCCCTAATATTTCAGAAGAATCCATCCATTAATGATGCTTCTGAGAACCCTTTGTCATAACCCCAGTCTCATTTTTAGTTTGATTCGCTACTTCTGAAAGAACCCGATGATGAGTTTTTGAATTCCTAGGCAGAATCTGTCTTCCTCCCTCAGGTTCCACTACCTTTTGTTTCCCTTTGAACACTCCCCGCGACTTCAATTTCCATAGGATTCACCCCGCTTAAGTATTTGCCATCAATAACTGTTTCTTCTTTTCTAACCTCAAGATTACTAAGGGCAGCAAATCTTGAAGGAGTTACTTTTGGAACTTGATCAAACTTTAACTTGTTAGGTGACTTTCATGGACTCTTTTTTCTGAGAAACCTGCTTCCAATCCTCTTCTATTTGCACATCATTATCCACCGTTACAGTACTCCTTAATCCACACTCTCCACCTACCATCCTTTTACTAACATTCTTCACAATTTCTAATTCCTTCACGCCTTCCAACCCTTTTACAACCTCCAAATCTGTATTATTATCTCCCTCATTTTTATCATTTCCTACTTCATTAGCTTTCTCCTTATCACTCTATATCCTTAGCTCTCCTTGTTTTCCCGACTCCATAGTTGTCTTATCCTCCAGTATTTCACCCTCTTCTTGTTTACCCATAGTACAGATAATCTCTGAATGACTCCATTTACCACAATTACTACACTTAGTAGGCTACCATAGATATGTGAACTCAACCTTAATCTTTTCACCTCCGATTTTGAAGTTAATTCTCTTCGGAAACTCTTATGATAGATTCGCTTTAACACACACCTTCGCTACCTTAAGTTTGTACAAGCTATCGTCTCTGGGTGAAGCTTGTCAGGCACACCAGCTGCACTTGACATGAAGCTCAGCCCTTCCCATGAGTACATACTCATCGGAACCTTTTCCAGATGAACCACAATGGAGTGAGCTTCCCTTCCAAGTCATCCACTTTCGGAGACCACTTAAAAACCACCATCGGAATCCCCGCAATGTTCCACATATATACCCCTCCTTACTATCTTTTTGCTGATTGCTTTGCTCGGAACCGTAATTCTCATCGTTACCAAATCCATTTCATAAACATCTATCTTCATCGATTTTTTCCCAAACATCCAGATTTTGTTGAGAATCTTCTGTACCTTCGCTACATATGGAACTCTTTCCAGGAATCGAGCAACCATGAAGTCATCCCAAAGCAGATTCGCCTCCTCAACAATCGTCGATGGAACTTTCACCGATTGCTCCCCTTCTGAGAACGAGATTTCCAAATCATATCTTTGCAAAACCTTATTCTGTTTCACCGCCGCAACCCAAGACTTCTGCGTCGCCGGAGAAACCCCAGCAAAACCATCCCCTGGAGAATCTGACGACTCCATCCCAGCCACCGTAGAGAACTAATGAGATTAGTAACCATAATTGTCTTTTTTCCTTAAAAAATACTTTGATACTTGTATGTGTGGAAGACTAAGGATTGATTTGTGGTAACTAAATTAAATAAGCAGTTCGTTAAGTTCAGCTTCTTTGAATTTAGAGGCACTACCAAGTAGCGAAAAGGCAAAGTACTATGAATCATACCCACTGAAGCTTGAATGGTATTTGTTTCTTACTTAGAAAGACTAGAAGTATAGAAGCTTGTCTTCTGAAAACTAACAACAAGGCCGGATCTGAGCTTAAATTCTCTTAGCACTTGAAGAGCATTTTGAATAGAATCAATTGACTCATGAATAAAGATAAGCAGGTCGTGTGCAAAGGAGAGGTGGGTTATCTTCATTGACTGCATTTTGCATGGTAGTTTATTTACGCAATTGCTGCTACTTGGTTTAGCATCATTGAGAGGCAATTACATAGCTATCACAGTTTTAATCATCTTCTTCCTTTAAAGTAGTCATTCACTGATCCATAGTTACCAACCATGAAGTTTGTAGTGTAAATACGGGATTTTAATCCGGATATGAACTTCTGAGGAATCTAAAGACCATGCAGACAAGCTTCAAGGTCACGTACATATGCATGACCCATGATGCAAGTTTACATATTTTAACTTGATCCAATCATTAAAATATATATTTTATATATTTTAGTTATTTTTGATTTATTTACAAAATAAATATTTAATTAACAAATATTTTTATAAAACATTTCGTGCTTGAATCTATGGTAGGCATTTTATCTGATACCCGAAGCCGCACCTGAACTTGACTTGAAAAACCTAAACTAAAATCTGAATTGAAGTACTAAAATATTCGAATGGGTATTAAGTTAGGAAAGACCCTAACGGGTAATATTTGAACCCGAATGGGTATCAGAAGATAACCGAACATATATATACTTATCCCAATATTTCTTTTTTACATCTTATTTTTTATTTAAAATATTTATATTGATGTTATACATACTTTAAGATCATATAGTATATATATATATATCATTATGGAGAAAATGATTTGATATTCATTTAAAATGTATGTCAAACTTTTTTCATGTATTAACAAAAGTGACATCCAAAGTTTAAAAACAATAGCCAAATAATATATATTTTCTCTTGAAATGTTATCTCCAAATCTATTAATCATTCAATCTATAAAAAAATAAAAAGAATCAGTAAAGTGAAATATATATTTTTAAATACAAGAAACTTAAGAGATGAATTTTTTTTTCTTTTAAAATCTAAAATCTGAATCCGATCCAAACTAATCGAACCCGAACTAAAAATACCTAAATCTACCCCGAAGTCCAGGAATATCCAAATGGGTTCTATATCCCTATACTCAAATATCCAAAAATCTGAAATACCCTACTCAAACCCGCTATCCAAACGCTCATCCCTACTTGGATCATTACCTAGTTCATCTAGTATGATATTAAAAATGAAAATGGTTTATCCCTGCAGGACTTACTGTGCAGTCTGGACAAAAGCGTGGGAAAATACAACTAGATTTTCATCACGATATGGCTCTTACAGTATTCTTCGATTCGCCAAGCCCCATGATCGAGGTTTGCTCGTTTATAAACCAAAGGCCGTTTTTTTTTTGTCAAACGAAGGACGATTGATTTGCAAAATTGATGACACTGACCCATTATCCCAAAACTCTTTTGGTCCACCACCACCTGCCTCTGCTTCGCTGTATAAGTAATCAATGTCATTTTCTGAGTCTACATTTGACAAATTTAACACTATTAGTGTGAACAAAGGAAAAACAACATTTGAGTTTTGTTTATTAAATTTGACTTTTGACACTCGGTTTGATGCGTAGCGTATGTACATGATTCGCGACGATTATCAAAAATAGATATTTCGGAGAGAAACTTGTTTAAACAGTACGTAAATACTAGAGACAAAGATTTTGCTTTAATCTTATAAGAAAAATGAAGAAGAGGAGTTTGTTTCCAATAATACTCTGTTTTGTCCTCATAAGCTTTGGTGGTGGTTATTCAGTTTCAGCACAAACATGTTTGAATAATGGGAATTTCAGATCCAACGGCACTTACGACGCAAATCGCAGACTCATCCTCTCCTCTCTTCCTTTCAACGTCACAGATCAAGATGGCTTCTTCTACAATGGTTCGATCGGTCAAGAACCGAACCGTGTCTATGCAAGAAGGATGTGCATCCCAGGATCAACTTCGGAGGACTGTTCTAATTGTATCAAGAACGTATCTGATGGTTTGATACAGAGTTGTCCTAACCAAACAGAAGCATATTGGTGGCGAGGTGAGCCCACGCTTTGCCTTGTCCATTACTCCAACACATCTATCTCCAGTTCAGCAAATCTGAACCCGCGTGTAGTTCTCACAAACACAGGAGATCTAACCTCAAATCTAATAAATTTCACGAAAAAATGGGAAGACTTAGTTGTTCGTATGATTGATGTAGCCTCCACAACCAAAAACACGCCGTCCTCTAGTAATAACTATTATACAGCAAATAGTGCAGCCTTAGAAACTTTCCAGGATATATATGCGTTGATGCAGTGCACACCGGATCTTTCATCTGGTGATTGTGAACATTGTCTGAGACAGAGTGCAGGAGACTACCAGTCATGCTGTGGTCAGAAGCAAGGAGGCGTTGTTATGGGGCGAAGCTGCTTTTTCCGTTGGGATTTGTATACTTACTCTAAGGCTTCTTTTGAAAACATTTAGGTGGCTTCTTCTCCTCCTCCTCCTGTGAATGTGCCACAAGCTGCAGGCGATGGGGATGATAACAAGACCGTCAATGGTAAGTCTTTTCACAGATAAATTAATTATTGTAAAAACACAGTTGAAATATTTGACATTTATTTTCTGTATTTGTTAGCAAAAAATAGCAACGGAATTTCAGCTGGAATTGTCGCGGCGATTACCATTCCGATTATTGTGACCATCTTAATAGTGCTTGTTCTAGGTTTCGTTCTATCCCGGAGGAGAAAAGCATACCAAAGAACTGAGATTGAATGTTAGTTACTCGTTACATCTTTATAGTTTTCTCTAGCAGAAGAGTATAAAATGCATAACTAGTAAACCCATGACTTGCAGCTGATAGTGGTATTTCAACTGAGAATTCATCACAATACGATTTTAAAACAATTGAAGCTGCAACAAATAAGTTTTCAAGCACTAATAAGCTCGGGGAAGGTGGATTCGGTGAGGTTTACAAGGTAAGGAGGTCTCTGTTTTCCAAGTTAATATGGCCATGAAAATAACCAACGATATTTTGTTTTATTCGATGTTATACAGGGTAAGTTACCAAATGGAACTGAAGTAGCTGTGAAGCGGCTGTCGAAAAATTCAGGACAGGGCACAAGAGAGTTCAGGAACGAGGCTGTTCTTGTGTCAAAACTTCAACATAGGAACCTGGTTAGGCTTCTTGGATTCTGTATGGACGGAGAAGAAAAGATTCTCATATATGAGTTTGTTCCCAACAAAAGCCTTGACTATTTCTTATTCGGTATGGCTCTCTCTTTCAATAGTTTTCCTACTCTAAGGATTCCTCTTCAGCTTTGTAAACTGATTGATCATACATGGAGTTTTGTAGACCTTGAAAAGCAAAGTCAGCTAGACTGGACCCGGCGTTACAAGATCATTGGAGGGATTGCTAGAGGGATTTTATATCTTCATCAAGATTCACAGCTAACAATCATTCATCGTGACCTCAAAGCCAGCAACATTCTCTTAGATGTCAACATGAACCCAAAAAATTCAGATTTTGGATTGTCGACCATCTTTGGAATGGAGCAAACTCAAGGCAATACCCACAGAGTAGCTGGAACCTAGTAAGCCTCAAACACACAAAAATTGTTACACCTTTTTTTATGACATATTAATATTAACCAGAATTTTTATGTTTTCAGTGCTTACATGTCTCCTGAGTATGCAATGCATGGTCAATACTCTATGAAATCTGACATTTACAGCTTTGGAGTATTAGTTCTGGAGATTATAAGCGGCAAGAAAAATAGTGGCGTTTACAAGATGGATGAAACCAGTACTTGTGGAAATTTGGTCACTTACGTGAGCATAAAGTCCTCAACTTCCATCAATCTAACATATTTAAACACATGACCAAGGTTCTTGATTGTTTATTTTGTTAGGCTTGGAGGCTTTGGAGGAAGGGGTCACCACTAGAGCTGGTGAGTCCTGCAATTGGAAGCAACTATCAGAGTAATGAAGTCACTAGATGCATCCATATTGCACTCTTGTGTGTTCAAGATAATCCAGAAGACCGTCCAATGTTATCAACTATCATCTTAATGCTCACTAGCAACACAATTACTTTACCAGTGCCTCAATTACCGGGTTTTTATCAAGAAGCATGCATAGGCTATACCCTCTATCTGAGGAATTAGTTGTGTCGAGTGAATCAGCTAGCAAAAGTTTTCCTCATTTAGTTCGTAAAAGATAATATATCTACTCGATCGTATGTAAAAGTTGAACACAAAAAGGCCATAATTGATTTAATCTCTCCACGCACATAAGAAAGAGATAAGTATCTTTTAATTGTTTTGTAAGTTGTAATCTGCATCATGCTATGGTAAGTTCTATATTAATGGAGATCTACAATGTTGTTCGCTCTCTAAACTCTCTTCAAACTGATTAATGCAGAGTTTTAACCTTGGATTACTTAAAATTCAAGCTATCTTTAATCTAGTAGTAAGTTAAAAATAAAAACACAATCAAATTTAACGAGTCTTACATATATGCATCGCTTTCTCCTGGTCCAGCCCAGACGAGGAGTGTCTTACCTCGGCTCATATTGGTTTGAGTTGATTGTAATGATTTTACAAAATTCAATAATGAACTTGATTTCGTCGTTATAAATCAATCGAAGGAATAATTTGCACGTGCTACAAATAAAGTACAGCAAAACCAGGTGCGCATAGGCACACTTGCGGATAATCCAGGGTATATGAGAAGACAATATTAACCCTTCTCCAATTTGTTGTCATGTGGCACATTGGTAATTACAAATCAATTCACCAAACTTAGGCGCAAAAACTTGGGAAAACCAGGGGAAAGAGCGTCTGGTTTTTGGGTGTTCAAAAAAAAAATAAAAAAACGAGCGCCTGGTTTTGCACTAACAAGCGGCAAAATCTAATCCTCTTTTTTTATTATATAAACGACGCATGGAAATCTCATCTTCATCAACAAGAAATTCGGCTTTTACAAACAAGAAAACAAAGGAAGCGATTCTCTGATTTTTCCAGTTAAATAAAAAAAGTGAGAAAAGATGAGTTCAAGGAGCAAAGCATGGTTAGTGGCAGCGACCATCGGAGCCGTGGAGGCCTCGAAAGACCAGTTAGGACTATGCCGGTGGAATTATCTGATCCGATCTGTGAATCAACGTATTCGAAACAATGTGAGATCCGCTGTTCAGGCGAATAGATTCTCTTCGTTGTCCACAGCGGTCGTTGCATCTGGTAAGGATAGTGACGAGGCGAAGCCAGCTGAGGAGTCTCTCAGGACGGTCATGTATTTGAGTTGTTGGGGTCCTAATTGATTAAGACAAATCCAGATTTGTTTTTTTTTTTAATCTTTTGATGTCGATTGGTTCCAACAGATTGTATCACACAAGTTAAAGATATTTGTACAGAATGTAGAGATAAATATAAATTTTGTGATCATGTTACTGGAAAATATATACATCACAAGATAGAAACTTGCATGATCCATTCGTTTGACACATCAAGCTTGTCCATTGTTTTTGCTATCGAACTTGACTACATGCCCTTCTAGGAATTGGATTTCTAAATGGTTTCGCATCAAGCCACTCTTTAAATTCGGTAATAGCAAGATCAGTTAATGTTTGGGAAGTTAAAGGACACACAGAACATAAATTGCAGTATCATCAAAACACATTAGCAATGGGAAATGTACTAGTTCTACCTTATAGCTCTGAAAACATCTCTTATATAACTCATGGAACATTACAATGTTTTTATATCAAAATGTTATCACTGCGTTAATTCTTACAATTTTCAGAAAAATAATTTAGTTAATACATAAATTATAATTTTTATTAAATTAACTATCAAATTAATTAATAGCATAAAAATAATATATTCTATCTTCTTTCTTTAACTAAAAACTACAAATTATCTATTATAGTTAACAAATATATGAAAATTAATTATTTTAAACAATAAAGATTTGGTAAAAGTTTTATATCGTCTTATCATTTTTTTTTTAATTTTATATTCTTAAAAGAAATTAAAGAATCACATTAATCATATATAAAAAAATTTAAAATTTTCTTATATGCTATATTTTGAATTTTTTTAAATGATTATAAATTATTAAGAGTGTTAAATGATTTAACTTTTTTCGTTAAGACCCATAGAAAATAAGAATAATGATAAAGAAAGATAAGCTAATATTTCATCCCACTAACTTTTGTGGTGTTGTGGTGTTGGTTCGTTGCGGTGTTGCTGCGGTGTGGTTGTCGTCTATGGCTTCTTCGAGGCGGCACAGTCTCTCCCTCTCAATTTGCTTCCTCTTCTCACCTACTCGTCACGATCTTTTGTGGAGCTAAGTCGACTTAAGCTCTCAATTGTGTGTGCTCTGGGTGTTCGTGAGGTTGTACTATGACGCTAGTGCATCCCTTGTCAGATAAAGCTTACCTCCCTTCGGTTTACGGAGATGGGGATTGGCGTTTTGAGTGGAGACTTCTTGTGGTCTGACAAATTCTTTACTCTTTGGTGGCATAATCGGCGTGTAGAATATCCCAGTGCCGTGAGCGGACCTCTCATGGTAATACTACACGATAAAGCTTTTGCAGGTCATGGAGCGTTGTTCAGTTTCGTTGCAGCGGCAGTTGGCCCATATCCGCCTTCTTGTTTAATCGTTCTCAGGTTTAAGGCCTTTCGGTCTCAACTTTTGTGGGGGATCGGTGTTGTGGAAGTTGTGCAGCTTGGTTATCGAGCATTTTCCAAAGGTCGTGTTCCTTAACCCTCTTCTACACTATCTTCGAGGCTAATGACAGCGATGATTACAAGTCTTGAGGCATTCATCAAGAACTAGCTACTCTGGAGGCGACATAGATAGTTTCGGCATCCGAGGCAACGAGGAGGACCTCACTTATCTATATTTATCATCGACGGTTGAGAACGGCAACTGATTCCTATGAATTTGAAAAATGGTCTAGCGGAACATGCCGGGTTTGTAATACATTGAGTTTAGAAGTTTTTTTCAATTCGGGTTTATAATTCGGATCTGATTTTCCGTCTTTGAAATTAAATTAATATAATATATAATTAAAAAAATTCAGTAAACTATTAGGTTAACACGAGTGCCAAATATAGTACAACAAAACCGTCTAGAGAACCCATGTTCTTTCTTGAGGGTGATTTGAACAACTCCTATCTATGCATTCTTTCATCTCTATTGATTGCTTTTAGGGATCACTGGTCTCTGTCCGGTGAATTTCTTCTTCTTTCAATTGTTTTTTAAACACATAAATCCACAAAAGGTTTCAAAAACATCAGTGGGAACACAACACCAAAAAAAAACGTGTATTTGTGTTTTTATATCTTTTATTCATTCATATATCCATGTATAGTTTTCAATGATTATACTGGAAGTTTTCTAGTATATTTTCCTATGGATCGTCAAATCTAACACTTATTTTTAGTTTTGTAATCAATATGTGATGGCTATTCGATGCTTCAAACAAATCTTATTGTATTTGCTATGAAAACAACGTCTAGCAAAAAAACTGCCATGGATTCAATAAGTAAAAAAATATTTACAGACCGAATAGCAGTATGATGTTGTCTAAGGTATTCATAATTTATATTTTGATTTAGTAGCCTCATTACCCATGGTCTAAATTAAGGATACATTTGTAATTTCATATTTACACTGATTAGTAAATATTTTTGAGTTGTTTTGAACATTTCTTATTTTTCCTAACTACATTAATTTACCAATTTTACGTAAAAGAAAATAAACTTACAATCCAACAGTTAGGAACAAATATATTAGCTTGTAAAATCAATTTTTTACAGTTTCATATTACATATTTTTTGAAAAATAATTGTAGTAAATTATACAGGAGTAAATTATACAGTTACAAAGTAAATAAAAAAAATTGACAACCTAAATTCTAAAAAGAAAATTTAAAATTACAGTATTTATCTAAAAACAAATTTTTACAGTTTCATATTATATATTTTTTGGAAAAAAATATTTGTAAACAATTATATAGTAATAGATTATGCAGCTACAAAGTAAAAAAAATAAAAAATTCACAACCTTAATTTTAAAAAGAAAAATTAAAATTTAAGGGTGTATAAATATAGGGAAAATTGCTAATTTGGAATAAATCAACAACTACATTGTCCCTCTACCATAATCCTCTTTTTGGTCCATTTTTGGCCTAACATACCTTTCGCCTACTTTAGAAATTCATATCAAATTATTTTAGAGAGTTGAAAAATATGGAAAATATACATAATGTACATAAACAATAGACAAGTTTATGAAAAATAATTTTGTTCACTAAATATGAGTACAATACAAATTCAATTTGCGATCTATGACTAGTAGATAACACAATTCACTGTCTACAAGACCATAAAGTGATGTCTCTGATAGTTATACAAGTGTCTGAAGATGGTAGACTGTAATATCAACGAAATGCTATAATTCTACCATGGAAGAATGGAACGTCTGCCGTTTAGTAATGATCTACAAAACCAAGGGTTTCGTGATCTAATTTTAGTCATTTAACTACCAAAACGTAATTACAAATTCTGTCTGTGTACCTTGTGTCTATCACCGTAGGATTGCAATATCTAACAAACTACAAAAATCTACGGGAGGAGGATTACATATTTTACATTGTTTTCAACATTCTACCGATCTCAGAATTCATGTTCTACTAATTTTGAAATGTAAAATTTCCTTAAATCTCTCTAAAATCTGTTAAGTGAATATTATCCATATCAAAAGTTCCCAAAATCGTGTTCAAAAAATCGTGTTGCCTATTCCACAACTAAAAAATCGGGTTCTTCCAACGTATCTCCTACCTCTTTCTTCATCAATCCATTAACGTGATCCATCATCTCAGAACACCTAAAAGTTTTGATTCTCTTGTTTAGAATGATGCATATCTATGCCTCTTGTGGGTTATAGAAATTTGAGGAGCTTAAAGGATGGAGATTTTTTATTGACAAAGAAAAGGAAGGAAGAGTCCTAGTTGTGGAGTCGACATGTTCCTTTGTAGAGTTAAGGATTATGGCCTATGAGGATTTTGGAATTGATCAAAATCTTGTCGAGATTGTGTTAAGCTACTTACCAATGGAGCTAATCAGTACTATAGACTGTCCACCTGTAATCATTGAGAATGATCGGCAAGTCAAAAACTTCCTTACATACACACGTGGAAAAGCTTCGAGAAGGTTATGTGTCTCTGTTTCATTAATCCACGGAACTGGCGAGGATGTCAACATTGAGGTGGATAAGGCAGCATCAAACTCGCCTATCAGAGATCGAGGTGAACCTTCCTCATCTGTATGTCGAGATCATGTTGGTAGTGCATTTGAATCAAGTAATCATGTGGAAGACA